TATTAACCTCCAAAACCTTGACCTACTTAAAGATATATCACTTGTTCGCCACCCGAGACCTGAATATACCAGTTGACAGCTCAAGAAATAAGTTTTGAATGTCACTTGGTGTGGTTCGTCGTGTGTCAAAGTGCACGAAACATCAATATATGACATAACAGTGCGCGAAACACATTGATAAATTATTAAAAGATTGCAAAAAATTTTAAATATGATCTAACAGAATGAGAAACACTAGATTTTCTTCCTTACTAACTCTCCTTTTAACTAATTTCGTCTTAATCTTCTTGTTTCATTCTTCTTCATCTGTTAAACACATCTTCACTAGTCGTACACAGGCACTTGAACGGCTCGCAGATAAAGGAAGAATCGGATCTATTAAATTCGATAATATTTTTTAGTTTTTTGGGGAGGAGTTTATCGGTCAGTCGTATGGGTCATCGGGTTCTTATCTCAATGCCCGATAAGTCATGTGACTCCTGTTGATATATTGTTTTGTGGAATAAATAGATATTGTGTTTTATTTAAGGAAATGAATCGAAGGGTTTGATTTGTGGACAGATAGATAGATATAGATATTTATTCTGTAAAATCGTTAGGCAAGTTCACACTGATGCAGCCTGTAATGTATACAGTACAGTTATATAATTTACATATACAGAACTGGTATACAAACAATTAAGTAGACAGTACAGGTATACAATATGATAAACAGAATCCAACAAGGCCAGACAGACAGACAGATAAGCATACAAAGATAGAGAGAGAGAGAGAGAGAGAGAGAGAGAGAGAGAGAGAGAGAGAGGTTGTTCAGATATACCGCCTGACGGACCTTCTTACCATCGCTGAGTATTTGCCTAACACTAATGCGCTAACCGGATGTCAAGCGTAACCTTATCTAGAGGACAATGAGGATATGCTCAATCATTTTTAAAATATAAGATTAAAGTGTTGACGCTGATCTGTATGTTGCATAACCAAAACCTCGTTAGGAGTGAATTTATGAGAAAAACTGATCACATATTGAAATTTAGGTTGAGAAAAATGTTGATGAATGATGATTAGCTCATGTTGGCCCCAGTGCCCCTCGTTATCACTGCGTGGTTTCCTAATGATAATTGTCACCAAGTACTTTACAGAAGCTTTCCACCGAGCTGATAAACTCGTTAGATATTGGATAATGACCACGTTCGCTGCCTTGTCGTTGAATTGATATCTCACTTCAATCCTGACCAATGAGAGAGCGTTAACAGAGTGTACCCACCGGGGAGAGTGAACCTGACCTCTGATTGGTCGATATTTTTATGTTTATAACAGCAGTGCCACCAAAAAACACCCGTTTCTATCATTATCGAGGTACAGGTATTTCCTTATCGCATCTGAAACATATTTGTCTCATCAGAGGCTCTTGACTGATAACAGGGAGATGCATCTCCTGGTTTCATTTTTCGTGTTACCGTTTGCCTTGGTGATTACTCTGTTCTTTTATTATATTTTATTTTTTTAAGCTAATATAGGAGCTGTCAGCTGAGATGGAAAGTGTTTTTCTTTTTTTTCTTTTTTACGGGATTAACCCACCAGGGCACAGGTCAATGACCCATACCAGGGCCTGGGGGCGAAAATATAATAATAATAATAATAATAATAATAATAATAATAATAATAATAATAATAATAATAATAATTAATAAAAATTATAACAAATATTAAATAAGAAATATAATCATACTAATTATAATAATGATAATATTATTATTAATAAAGGATCATAAATAAAAAAAATCAATAGTGAGAAACAATATATGTATGTTGTGTTGTCAATAGTAAGAGAAACAATTGAGACCCTGCAATTGTGTGTAAATGAGGCAGAAAGTCAGATCAGCAACCTGAGACTTGGTCACAATTTTTCTGATGCCATATGACAGCAGGGTCTACTACCTACTACCTGGCATTATTATAGACGGGTAAGGATTTTAAGGGGGATCATATTACAGCTTTAAACTTAGTACATACGATATAGATTTTGGAACTTTGGACTGTTAAAAAAGACGTTTATAATGTGCCTATTTTTAAGTACATAGACACGCTATAAGGGTCTTTTGTACACACACACACACACACACACACACACACACACACACACACACACACAGTATAGTGCCATCTTTGAACTCCTGATAATAACCCATTAAGTTAGCAATCACCACAGACCACCCGACTGCCGAGGATTACTTTACTTATATATCTCTGTGTCTGAATGTTTATTTATGTCTGTATTTGTGTCTGTGTCCTGCCTTAATGTAAATATTTCTATGTATATCTGTAGCTCTGTGCTTGTTTCTATGCCTGTGTATGTGTGTATTTGCCTTTCTGTATGTATGTATGTATGTATGTATGTATGTATGTATGTATGTATGTATTAGAAAATATCAGAATACTAGGTCTATTAAAACATATATTTAATTCCGGTGAACGTAGGTCAAAGGTCAAGGTCACATGTAGAGGTCAAAGTTCATGATCAGGTAGAGGAGGATCGTGTTCTGATTGGCTCCTGCTGTTGGTTGTGATTGCGTTTGTTTGTCTGATTGTATATTTGTTTAGGTATTACAAAAAAAAATGTATCAATAACTAATTAGCCAGGTATAAGATGTAACTCCAAAGCTCACGTTTCATATTTATTAAAAGCCAACGAGACAGACGAGGCAGACAGATGAAATGAAAGAAATGAAAGAAATGAAAGAAACCGGATAACGTGAAGATTAGCCCCTCCAACTTACTTTACCTTAAGCTTAACTACCCTAATCTAACACAATTTAACCTAAGCTAACCTAAGCTAACATAACATATCATAGCATAACATGACATGACTTGACACAACCCAAACTAACCTAACCTAACACCCCCCAGGGATAGCGTTAGGGTGTTTGATAACCAGGTGAAATAAGCTCAGGTGTTTTATTTCAACCTGACTTGTGATACTAATATAGCAGGACTCTTTCTCGTCGAGCCCATTCCGGAGTGTAGTCGACGTAGTACTCGGAGTGTACCGTGCTGAGACTGTTCTTGGTACACGCACTTCCATCAAAACATCATTGAGAATTTAAGCATTTTAAGGCGTTCTGAGATTACACCCCTCAAAATAAAAGATTAGGTTAGGTTAGGTTAGGTTAGGTTAGGTTTGGTTAGGTTAGGTTAGGTTAGGTTAGGTTAGGTTTGGTTTGGTTTGGTTTGGTTTTGATCGAATTGCGCATGCCCAGAGTTTTCAAAGATTCGTTCGTCAGATATTAATGGTAAATGAAGTTGCAAGAATTGATTTATATGAACACACTTGAAGACTAATTAATAAAATATCTATAGGAATTAAAGAAAGACATTTAAGGGGTCACCTAAAGAATCTCCACCCTGGTTTATTTCACCTAAATATTAACCACCTTAATTCGAGGGATGAGGTTAGGTTAGGCTAGGTTAGCGTGACTAATTTTTAAGTGAAATTAGCTGTAGTGGAGATTCTTCTGTTCAGATAATGTCATTTAAGTTATAAGAAATATTGAGTGTGACGGATCCTTATTCCACTTAAATGTAGACAAAAACAGATCGGGATACTGATTCAACAATAAAATGTACGGGTTTGTATAACTTATCTATATATATATACTGACAGGATTCCCCGCTCCCTATTCTGGACGCCACAACGTTTTATGAAGCTGTCTACAGTTTCTACAGTGAAGTGAAAGTGGGATCCATAGACGTGATGGACCATTAGGGGAAGTACAAGAGGAGAGCGTGGTTATGTTGCCCCTCTACTGTACCGCCTTTCACTTCCCAGCGGTTAGGTTCGCTACCCATTCAGCAGCTGCAGCAGTTAGGAGTGTCCCAAATCAGCAGCTGCAGCAGTTAGGAGTGTCCCAAATCAGCAGCCTTTTAATTTATTGATTGATTTTTTATTTAGCATTTCAACACTTTCAGCTTATTGGCCTTTCGAGCGGTTCGTGTTTCCAGTGTTAGTACGTTGGTGAGGTATGCCCGTTACCGCTTATCCCCGGGAAGTAAGGTGTGTAACTAACTGTCTTTCCTGGAGCAGGTTTTAAAATTGTAGCATTGTGATAAGTACATTTATGGTCATAAGAGAGAGATTAACAATTGAATTTAGATAAGACAGGAAAACAACAGCATTGCATAACGTATAGGAGCAGTACATTACAGATAACGTCGAATTAAGTGGCTGAGTAGTGTGGTCGGTTTATTTAAAAGAGGTTAACGTTATAATGTTATATTATTAACTTATTACTGTACTTCAACTTCTAAGATCTGTAAGGAAAACACCAAGGGGGTTAGTAATTACACTTGTCTATCAACAACTGAAATTTATGGGTGATTAAACTCTGTATGAGAGAGGCACAAGGAGTACTTCATGTTGTTAGGTTGACACTATTGGGTTGAAGGGAGGGATGATGGATGGGACAGAACAAGTAACTATCGGCTCTGCTATGACGCAACTCGCCTCTCCGGCCGCAGGTGTCACCACAACAACCATGATCCGGTGCAATAACCTCCTACTCGTCACTGGCAGCGCCCACGGTTTGGCAGCGGAGGTCACGTGGCTCTTTAAAACGTTTCTTTGACCTTTTAAAATGTTTCGATCTAATATATTATGTTTTTCCCAGATATTTGATTTATGACTGTAAAATTTTTGCCGTAGATGTTAAGTAAGGAGAATATAATTTATCAAGCAGTAACGAGTACTAACCTTGGTGGCACTTGTTGGTAAGGTTGTACGATCTTTATATTCATGGCTTGCCGACTTCTCTGATGCTCATTAGTTTTCCCCTATTTCTAGAGTATTTTAGTTTATGGCAAAGTATTACACTCTTAATAAATTAATTCAAAGTAGTTATGTAAATATAGAGATGGGTTCTCTTCTAATTATTGAGGAGTAGCATTTAAGTCCAAGATAAACGGTCTGGTGATATCTGGCACTTTCTGCGCACGTAAAAGGCCCTTGAACCGCCCCAGACTAGACAGTTTCTACCTGACCGTGTACGAGCCAGTCCTTCCTTTTTCCGCTCTTCCACACTTTTGTCAATTTGAAATGGTCGGCTGGGGATACGCAAAGGCAAACGGTAAGTATTAATGCTTTCCAGACATCAGTGCTACGTACCACAACCCCCTGTGGTGTGCTTGTATATATTGTCGAACATATAGAGCCAAGTGTCAATCACGCTCACTAACGTGTCAACGAACGTGAGTAAAATGGTATGACCTATGTGTCTTGTTTACATAGACCAAAGATTTGTTGTGGGTCTCCGGCTCCTTAAGGGGAAAGAGTGCGGGTAATCCTCACTCACGTGTTACCTCCGAGCTGTGTGTGGGGAGTGTGTGTGCCTTAAGCTTGTTTTGCTGCTGTCACCCAGGACGCGAGGCTCCGTGCACTTGTTATACGTCGACAAGGTACTGACTCGCCTGAAGATATAGGACACGTAGAGTTTATATACTGTTATATAATGTACACATTCACTGGTTACGTTAATCTTAGTCTTCTTCAGTGTTAGATAAAGGGAAGGAGCGGAGGGCGACAGGACGACACATATTAAAGCTGATAACTTATTTATTGATGTTTTGGATAATATTGTCCTTTATCAGGAGGATTTATGGAGAAAGACCGAATTACAAAAAGATCCTACCTTCTGCCATCTCCGTCTTTCACTACCACATACATATTTTCCTCTGATCCTGTTCTTGCGATGACGTCATGTGCCCGGGCAGGTGATGTTTCTCTAATATATATGTACAGTATATATAAAAGGAAATCGCTGCTTTTTTAAGTAAAATTGTACTATAGGCCTGACAGCTTGTTGAGGGCAGTGAGGGTGCACTAAACCTCTCCGTACATAAGGAGGCAGCAGTGCCCTTCAGTGTGCTCGACCGTCTGGTTATCCTCAACTAGGAGTGCCGTGGGCGCGAACCAGCGATCCTCAGGTCGAGCAGGGAGTGTTGTATCCTCTTGGTCACCGCACCATAAACTACTTCCTAACTTTGTATTATTTCATGAGAAAAAATAAATATAAATTAAGAGTCTGGGCAGAATCGGAGGACATGTGTACTAAATATTTGCACTATTTTTAAAGGGAGTCATAAATATGGTATTTTCTGAAGGTTAACTTTCTTGTCCAACACAAGTCCAAATAATGATTTCACGGTGGCCAAGGTTGAGTTTACTAGCCTCACGTGATCACGTCTAAATTTAATTGGCAGTTTGGAATTAATATACAGCCTTGACACTTGCGAATCTGTTACCGGTCACCACCTGTTCATATAGAAGATTCACATGTCTGGTGCTCTAAATTGATATATATATATATATATATATATATATATATATGTCTGTACAGTTGTTGTTTCTGGTGTACGGTCTGTCCGGTTGTCTGTACACTAACACTGTAGGTTAGGTTGCATGGAAGACAGGGTGTGAATGCGTGTTGTATTTTCAAGCCTCATAGTATTATACTATTTCTGTGCTGTCTAGCGTACTAAACTGTTGCAATTCTGGTGCTGAGCTGCTGTACCTGCTCGAGTACTTCAGTGTTGTATTATTTTAGGGTACTATTCTATATTTGTGCCTTCTAGAGTACTTGTAGCGTAAGACCCGGGTTCGATTCTCATTTGTTGTTGCCGGAGGGTAGTGTATGCCATAGCCTGTGTATGTATAGAATATTCGAGAATATTCGTGGCAACCGATACGAAGCAACGGTAGATAACTCGTAGAAACCTAACCTAATTTAATATAACTTGACCTAATCTTATCTAACCAAACCTGATAACCGATGAGAAGCTAATCACTCCTACTCTAACTTAACCTCATCAAGCCTAAAGTTTTCATTGAACATAACTTGACTAAATCTTATAGAACCTCTCCTATTCTTATCTAACCTAAATTATTCTCAATGAACTTAATTTCATCTTAGCTAACCTCATCTTACCTTAACCAAACATTTTGTAGCTCTTAACCTTTCAGTCGTAGAACATAATTAACCAAAACAGACCTAAACTAGTCTTGGTGTTGTCAACCTAACTTACCGTTATCATGATGTAAACCTAATCTAACCTACTCTGCCATCATTAAGACTAACAGTACACTATAAGTAAATGCCAATCTCAGGCTAGCCTCAAGCATCAACACCGGGATGAGGTGTCTCGGGCCACGTTCCTGTGAGCGTCGAGTCGAGTCATTGCTGAGAACTTGCTCTGAATCACCCGACAAGTTCACTAAGCGTCACTGAAGGCTCTGCTGCACTAACATGACGCAACGACTGACGGTGATGTAGATGGTATTGATACAGCGGGTGGTGATGATGTAGACGATGTAGAGAGGGTAATAAGGCATCAGATGGTAATGAAAATAGCAACAAAAAGCCGTGATAATCAGACCTTATATGTAGCCTAGCAGTCTACCGTCTGAGTATCGTTATTGGTCATCTTGTGGTCATCTTGCCCCCGGATAGACACAAAAGCTTGGAGGGTTGGTAAAAACAGCCTGAGAACGTTTAGAGTGGAAAACTGTGGTTGCCAATCCTCAGGTATGAAGGCGGTACTCTGATTGTGGTCAGTTAGGGTCTTCCTAGTAAACATAGCTCCTCTGTGTTCTACCAGAGGGGCGGCTTTAACCTCCTCAGCTCTGGTATTTTGTACGCCCACCTTGCGTCCAGTTCCTGTAGTGTGTTGCCACATAGGGATTCGCGGTGCAGGTGTAGCAATGTTGTTTCCTGGAGGACTGGGGGATTGTATTTTACGTTCGTTGACTCATTTTTCCCGTTTTCTAAGAACCTTAATGGTCCTGGGGCATTTTGGCCTTTTAATTGTAACCCTTTTACCCATTGCATGAGGATATGAAAATAGTAGAGCTTAGTTATGGTAGTGGACCTGGGGAATTGTGGCCATTTTAACTTGAATTCGGAATTACTACTGGGAGGTGCACCTGTTGTAAGACGTGAACTTGTTGAGCGTCAGTGTGGCGAGGTAATTGTAGGGGAGTTACCTAGCAGAGAAACACAAGAATGGAGGAAACTGCAGCGGGTCTATTGGCCCATACTGGGCAGTCCCATTTACACCCAACCCCTATTGCTCATATATCCATCCAACCAATGTTTGAAGCTATCCAGCGTGTTCGAGTTAATGATAATGTTTGGTAACTTGTTCCACTCGTCCACTACTCCATTTCCAAACCAATGTTTACCTAATTCGCGCCTAAATCTAAATTTGTCTAATTTAAAAACATTGTTACGTGTTCGCTCCTGGTTGGATATTTTGAGTACCTTTGTAATGTCCCCTTTGTTTAGCCCTGACTTCCATTTATACACCTATCAGGTCGCCCCTCACTCTACGTCTCTCGAGGGAGTGCAAATTAAGATGCTTTAACCTGTCTCTGTACTCAAGGTTCCTAATGCCCGGGATTAGTCTTGTCATTCTCCTCAGAATTCTTTCTCAGGAATCTAAATCCACTCTGTAATACGGTGACCAGAATTAACTGCGTAATCCAAGTGAGGTCTCACAAGCGCAAGATATAGTTTTTAGGATGACCTCGCTAGTCTTATAACTAACACTCCTTTGTATGAACCCAAGTACTTTATTAGCCATGTTTCGAGGAAATACACATTGTTTACTTGGCTTAAGATTCCTACTTATCGTTACTCCTAAATCTTTCTCGCACTCGGATTTATCTATAACATCGTTGTCCATCTGGTATCTGGTTTCTCTTTTTACATCTCCTAAACTGAGTACTTTACATTTGTCCACATTGAATTTCATTTACCATTTTTAAGACCATTCAAAATTATTTTTAGATCTTCCTGTAATTTTGCGGAGTCCTCGTCAGATTTAATTACACACCCTATTTTAGTGTCATCAGCAAATTTACTTATGTTGCTGTCTACGCCGATATCTGTCGTTTATGTATATAATAAATAATAATGGTCCAAGTACTGAGCCTCGGGGTACTCCACTAGTGACGTTGCTCCGATCGGATTTGTGCCGTTAAAGCTCACGCGCTGTGTCCTGTCCTGTAACCACGCCCTAATCCATTTTAGAATCTCTCCTCCAATGCCATGAGCCTCCACTTTTCTTATTAGTCTTTCGTGGGGACTCTGTCGAAGGCTTTGCTTAAGTCGAGATATACCACATCATAATTGTGCCCCTCGTCCACTGATTCGAAAACAGCGGAAAAGAATATTAATAGATTAGTTAGACATGAACGCCCGCTTATGAAGCCATGTTGGGAATCATTGATCAACTTGTGCTTCTCCAGGTGATTTCAAATAGGTTTCAAATGATTGATTCCAGTAATTTGCCTACAATTGATGTTAAACTGATTGGACGGTAGTTAGAGGATAGTGATTTATCTTTTATCGGCTTATATTGACTGATATCTGTTTTACCGTAGTTGATGGGTTCTCTTATCTTTTTCAACCTGGCTCATAAATATCAGTATTTGCCTCATAGCAGAGTCGAGCGATATAGCTAATGTTCTTTCTTTAATATCCGTAGAACGCTTTGATTGTCTTAAGGCTCCAGGTGACTTCTTCTGAGTGCTCCTATATACTGTACATACGCCCAAAAATGTTGACCGTCCAGGGAAGCTGTAGACACGTTCGTCACTCGACAGCACAAAACCTGACGAGCCTCTAAACGCACAAGTGAAGGGGGGGCTGCACACTCCGAGAAAGAAGACAGTAGTAAGCGGAGAGTGGTGCAGGATATGTGTAGAAAGTGACCAGACTAAGAGTAAAATTGCCCTTGACATATTTAACTTATATCCGTGACAGGAAATGACTTTAAAATAGCGGATTGGAAACACTTGACATATATTTGTTTCTATATACTCAATTTATATACGTACACATCATACACTATTATCAATATACTCCCTTGTAATTCTGTACGCCAGATTGTCTTGGATGAACGGGGCTATCAATTAGAACCAGATGGGTATTGACAATTATATTGATTATACCACCACAGTCGATTATACTGGAGTGAAAATGGAAATTCGTACATCTGAACATATTGTATTCATTTGATTTTTAAGTTTTCATCACTTTCTTTACATTGTTGGTGGACTTTATCAAGC